ACGTTTAGCTTTGAAGTAAATAACGGAGAAACGTTTAGCTTCTAAGTAAATAACGGAGAAACGTCATGCTTCTTAGTAAATAACGGAGAAACGTCAAGCTTCTTAGTAAATAACGGAGAAACGTCAAGCTTCTCTAGCTTCTTAGTAAATAACTGAGAAACGTCAAGCTACTTAGTAAATAGCGGAGAAACGTCAAGCTTCTTAGTAAATAACGGAGAAACGTCTACTTAGTAAATAACGGAGAAACGTCAAGCTTCTCAGTAAATAACGGAGAAACGTCAAGCTTCTCTAGCTTCTTAGTAAATAACGGAGAAACGTCAAGATTCTTAGTAAATAACGGAGAAACGTCAAGCTTCTCAGTAAATAACGGAGAAACGTTTAGCTTCTTAGTAAATAACGGAGAAACGTCAAGCTACTTAGTAAATAACGGAGAAACGTCAAGCTTCTTAGTAAATAACGGAGAAACGTCAAGCTTCTTAGTAAATAACGGAGAAACGTCAAGCTTCTTAGTAAATAACGGAGAAACGTCAAGCTTCTTAGTAAATAACGGAGAAACGTCAGGCTTCTTAGTAAATAACGGAGAAACGTCAAGCTACTTAGTAAATAACGGAGAAACGTCAAGCTTCTTAGTAAATAACGGAGAAACGTCAAGCTTCTTAGTAAATAACGGAGAAACGTCAAGCTTCTCTAGCTTCTTAGTAAATAACGGAGAAACGTCAAGCTACTTAGTAAATAACGGAGAAACGTCAAGCTTCTTAGTAAATAACGGAGAAACGTCAAGCTTCTTAGTAAATAACGGAGAAACGTCAAGCTACTTAGTAAATAACGGAGAAACGTCAAGCTTCTTAGTAAATAACGGAGAAACGTCAAGCTTCTTAGTAAATAACGGAGAAACGTCAAGCTTCTTAGTAAATAACGGAGAAACGTCAAGCTTCTTAGTAAATAACGGAGAAACGTCAAGATTCTTAGTAAATAACGGAGAAACGTCAAGCTACTTAGTAAATAACGGAGAAACGTCAAGCTTCTTAGTAAATAACGGAGAAACGTCAAGCTTCTTAGTAAATAACGGAGAAACGTCAAGCTTCTTAGTAAATAACGGAGAAACGTCAAGCTTCTTAGTAAATAACGGAGAAACGTCAAGCTTCTTAGTAAATAACAGAGAAACGTCAAGCTTCTTAGTAAATAACGGAGAAACATCAAGCTTCTTAGTAAATAACGGAGAAACGTCAAGCTTCTTAGTAAATAACGGAGAAACGTCAAGCTTCTTAGTAAATAACGGAGAAAAAGCTTCTTAGTAAATAACGGAGAAACGTCAAGCTTCTTAGTAAATAACGGAGAAACGTCAAGCTTCTTAGTAAATAACGGAGAAACGTCAAGCTTCTTAGTAAATAACGGAGAAACGTCAAGCTTCTTAGTAAATAACGGAGAAACGTCAAGCTTCTTAGTAAATAACGGAGAAACTAGCTCTTAGTAAATAACGGAGAAACGTCAAGCTTCTTAGTAAATAACGGAGAAACGTCAAGCTTCTTAGTAAATAACGGAGAAACGTCAGGCTTCTTAGTAAATAACGTAGAAACGTCAAGCTTCTTAGTAAATAACGGAGAAACGTCAAGCTTCTTAGTAAATAACGGAGAAACGTCAAGCTTCTTAGTAAATAACGGAGAAACGTCAAGCTTCTTATTAAATAACGGAGAAACGTCAAGCTTCTTAGTAAATAACGGAGAAACGTCAAGCTTCTTAGTAAATAACGGAGAAACGTCAAGCTTCTTAGTAAATAACGGAGAAACGTCAAGATTCTTAGTAAATAACGGAGAAACGTCAAGATTCTTAGTAAATAACGGAGAAACGTCAAGCTACTTAGTAAATAACGGAGAAACGTCAAGCTTCTCAGTAAATAACGGAGAAACGTCAAGCTTCTCTAGCTTCTTAGTAAATAACGGAGAAACGTCAAGCTACTTAGTAAATAACGGAGAAACGTCAAGCTTCTTAGTAAATAACGGAGAAACGTCAAGATTCTTAGTAAATAACGGAGAAACGTCAAGCTTCTTAGTAAATAACGGAGAAACGTCAAGCTTCTTAGTAAATAACGGAGAAACGTTTAGCTTCTAAGCAAATTACGGAGAAACGTCAAACTTCTTATTAAATAACGGAGAAACGTCAGGCTTCTTAGTAAATAACGGAGAAACGTCAAGCTTCTTAGTAAATAACGGAGAAACGTCAAGCTACTCAGTAAATTACGGAGAAACGTCAAGCTTCTTAGTAAATAACAGAGAAACGTCAAACTTCTTATTAAATAACGGAGAAACGTCAAGCTTCTTAGTAAATAACGGAGAAACGTCAAGCTTCTTAGTAAATAACGGAGAAACGTTTAGCTTCTAAGTAAATAACGGAGAAACGTCATGCTTCTTAGTAAATAACGGAGAAACGTCATGCTTCTTATTAGATAACAGAGAAACGTCAAGCTTCTTATTAGATAACAGAGAAACGTCATGCTTCTTAGTAAATAACGGAGAAACGTCACGATTCTTAATAAATAACGGAGAAACGTTAGTTTTCTTAGTTTATAACCTAGAAACATCAAGCTTCTCAGTAAATAACGGAGAAACGTCAAGCTCCTTCAGATGTGAAATGGCGTAAGACAGGGTGAAAGGATGTCACCTTTTCTTTTCTCCTTTTTTCTTAATGATCAACGATGTTTCTAATCAACAATGAATGTTAAGTATCTTAATACAATATCTAAATTATTAGAAGAGTGTACTTAGAATTAGTCTATCTATTGTTGGCAGATGACACTGTATTGATAGCGGAAAGTACAGATGATCTTCGCAATATGCTAAATAACTTCAGAATTTATTGCAATAAATGGAATTTGAAGGTTAATGTATCGAAATCCAATGTGATATCTGATCGACCGAAGATACCAAGTCATTTAAGATTCAGTTTCGATGGTAAGGTGTGAGATATATATATAGTTAAGGAATTTAATTATCTTAGCATTTTACGTTTCAAGTTTAGAAATTTTATAAGAGCTAAAAGAAAACAAGCACTTTAAGGAACAATAGCCATGTATGAGGTGTTAAAAGGTAGATCATACAATCTGACAGTGTCAACTGGACTTTAATCAAATAGTGACACCAGTATTATTATATGGTTGTGAAGTTTTGGGGTTCTTTAATTATACGGTCATAGCAACAATGCATTAAAAGTTTTGTAAGGTGCTTCTTCATCTGAAATCGTTCACTCTTGCTTATAAAGTATCTGTTAAAGGGAGATAACTCCAGACAGCTTGGATTGGAATTTAAATAACGAATTATCCCTGTGTGGTCAGTCAGGTCACGAGATATTGTCCAGAAGTACTCAGAGTTGTTGTTTAGTGGTTATGGTGATAAACATGAAATTAATTATTATTATAAAAACACACATTTAATTATCATATGTTTTTTTTTCTGTATCATCAGGATACCTAATTGGCAGCCATCTTGGATCATTAAAATTGTCTCACGTGACTTATGAGTTTTTGTAAAATCAGATTTATTTCTTGCCGTTAAGTAGTAGTCTTGTATTGTAAAAGTTGCTACTAAATGAAAACTTAAGCTGGAGGTCATGAGGTTTCTACCTTTGGCACATTACGTGGACTTCTTGGATTCTACTAATCTATTTGCAAAGGTCTTTGGACTAATAAGCCTGTACTGGGGCCAGGTTGATGGAAATGCAGAAAAAAGGAACAAATTAATTATATTTTTTATTATACACATGTATTGGGATTCTGTATAAATCACGTTACATCTGGTACTTAATTTCGTTAATTGTCACTTACCTGTTTAGATCTTAATTTAAATGGTGTGGCATGATTTCATTTCTTCCGCAAATATAAATCCACTTGAAAGCCTATGACACATAGTTAACAATAAGTACCAAATGATTGAACACGTGATATGACATGAATGTTACACTGCACGTTTCAGTATTTCATTAGTTTTTGTCTCCAATAAGAATACTTTTCCGTGATACAATTTTAATAATGAAGTACAGAAGAAATATTTTTAGATCAATTGTGAATCTAGTCGAAATCGAAATATAGAGGTTTCAATTTAGAAGGTTTGGGACGATACACTAAAAAAGTGGAGGAAAATACATTGCAATCATATATATGAAACAATCGGATGACTATGTGGTGTTTTTTCCAAATGACATTTCAAATAAGATAAAATGAAAAGAAAAACAGTTTTATCGCTGGAACTGTCCATACATGAATTATCACACAATGACCGACCTCGTGTCTGCTATTACTGAGATCACAAATCCTTTTCTATTTATCGAGATATAAAGTATTGATATGTTGTAGAAACTATGTTTGGCTATTTACAGAAGGGCACAATCGCAGCACTATTAATCACTATTTTTTACACAAATAATATCTTTCCTTGTCCTTCTATTAATTTGCCATTTGAATGTAAAAGGTATCAAAATATGATTATTTTGATTCAAATTCTGTTTCCACTTTCGCAATACAATAATCACACAATTACATCTCGTTCACACATACACCAGCATATTATGTTCTTTATAATTACAAATACATATGATGTCTATGTAAACTTTATGTAACATATATTCTCGTTTACTCGCTCGCTTACATGTGACCAATGATAATGCATTACTGTGAAATATGTACAATTTGATGATCATGTACGTGACATATAGTATCTTATGAAATATTCAAATACATATTGTCTTAGTTAATGAGTTAAATACTAGTGGATATTCGTCCATTTACAAAATTCTGATTTGATTTCACGATACAAGGCAAATAAACAGCTGAAACATTGAAAGCCATTATGTTCACACAACAACATAACCAGGAAGCGACGGGACGATACATTGCCTAGTTCTAACAAAACACAATGTTGTAAGTAACGCTGCGCATGTTACTAGCACCTGATTTGATTTGTTTCTCTGCCACGAACATTTTCACCATGCAATAGTTTAAAAGGGTCAAATGAACGTGATTGAAAAATAATCCACGTGTTTGGGAAAAAAACCCGGATGTCTTAGACTCATAAACAAAATATCGTAAACATCAATGAGGTTTTACGAGTCCATCCATTCTGAGAGTCTGAGTGTAGGAAATGTTTTGCGATGTTACAACAAGCCAGCCTTGTTGACGATGGACAGGACGAGGAAGAAGGCGATGGTGGAAACCGAGTACGACACACCACTGGCTCCGGACACCCTACACCTCATAGCGTCATACCTGATAAAAATAAGTGTGAATAAGTTAAAGTGTTTATGTAATATATACACTAAATGTACATGGTTATCGGCTAATATAACAAAGTATTGAAGTATCAAACCTAACAACACTTATAAACAATCCTGTAGATATTACAGAATTCTACGCTGCGACACTTGGGATTTATACTTACAAATTAAAGAGGCCTTGCTGCTTTTTCTGGTACTCCAATTCAATGAGAGATCCCTGAACCCACTCTCGTCCGTCTTTGAACGGGTACTCGTAACCTCGTTTGCACGCGCATTTGTAGTTTCCCCGCGTAAACTTATATCCCGAGATCTGGGAGCACTGTGGACAAAATAATACATCGTTACAATCATGTCGTCTTTATTGGTACGAAAACGTGATTAAGATGTGTCAACCTAAAGACGATATTGATACATTGAAAGTATATTGTTAATTCGGGATACTAAATGTCGCACTCGTTTGGGAGTGGTAAGGGAGATAACTCTTCTGTCTTTAAGAATCTTGGAAAATTTTAGCAGGAGTAGTTCCATGACAATATGTTTATAATACAAGCTCGGAAGTGCTAATTGTCGAGACAGTTCAATACACTGTAGATACAAACATCTAAGGCTTTACTTACTTTTTGGGTCCGGTAGTCACATCTAGCAGTGTTTTTAAAGGCGTTTGCAATAGCGAATGGCTGGGCGCACTGATTAATATCCAAGTAGTCTAGAGGTACATCGACCGTCACCATGCCCCTGTAAGATACAGATGACGTGTCAGGAATATTTAAATCACGTAACACTTACTGATCAGATCACACAGTACATTTTATTATAATGGTATCTGAAGATACAGGAATATTTAAATAAAAAATCTCGTAACACTTACTGAACCGGATCAGATCATACAGCACACAAGTTCAAAAAAATTGCCTTAATTCACATTTTTCAAAAAGTTGTCTCAATCTTCGGTAAATTAACACAGTGATGAATTCGCCCATCCACAATAAATGTTATATAAACAGTATGATAAAAGTGTAATATTTTAAACTAGATTTTAGCGAAAAGATATTTTTTTACCTGTCAACTTTTATTCATTTTATCATAATGCTATCTGTTATCTAAATATCTTGCAATGATTTTAAACATTGATACATGTTTCAACATCTTTTTATTGTTAGCTTTACTTTAGTGGTTGTCTGTAACTTTCCAATATTTTTCATGCATCGTTTACTTTGAAGTTATTGCAAAATATGAAAGAAAATACCGCCACGTCAACACAATCTCAACAACCAAGAAAATACCGCCACGTCAACACAATCTAAAACAACCAAGAAAATACCGCCACGTCAACACAATCTAAACAACCAAGAAAATACCGCCACGTCAACAAAATCTAAACAACCAAGAAAATACCGCCATGTCAACACAATCTAAACAACCAAGAAAATACCGCCACGTCAACACAATCTATAACAAAGAAAATACCGCCATGTCAACACAATCTTATCAACCAAGAAAATACCTCCATGTCAACACAATCTACAACAAAGAAAATACCGCCATGTCAACACAATCTAAACAACCAAGAAAATACCGCCATGTCAACACAATCTATAACAAAGAAAATGCCGCCACGTCAACACAATCTACAACCCAGAAGATACCGCCATGTCAACACAATCTACAACAAAGAAAATGCCGCCATGTCAACACAATCTAAACAACCAAGAAAATACCGCCATGTCAACACAATCTAAACAACCAAGAAAATACCGCCACGTCAACAAAATCTAAACAACCAAGAAAATACAGCCATGTCAACACAATCTATAACAACCAAGAAAATACCGCCACGTCAACACAATCTATAACAAAGAAAATACCGCCACGTCAACACAATCTATAACAAAGAAAATACCGCCACGTCAACACAATCTATAACAAAGAAAATACCGCCACGTCAACAAAATCTAAACAACCAAGAAAATACAGCCATGTCAACAAAATCTAAACAACCAAGAAAATACCGCCACGTCAACACAATCTAAAACAAAGAAAATACCGCCACGTCAACACAATCTAAACAACCAAGAAAATACCGCCAAGTCAACACAATCTAAACAACCAAGAAAATACCGCCAAGTCAACACAATCTAAACAACCAAGAAAATACCGCCACGTCAACACAATCTAAACAACCAAGAAAATACCGCCACGTCAACACAATCTACAACAAAGAAAATACCGCCACGTCAACACAATCTACAACAAAGAAAATACCGCCACGTCAACACAATCTAAAACAAAGAAAATACCGCCACGTCAACACAATCTAAACAACCAAGAAAATACCGCCACGTCAACACAATCTAAACAACCAAGAATATACCGCCACGTCAACACAATCTAAACAACCAAGAAAATACCGCCACGTCAACACAATCTACAACCAAGAAAATACCGCCACGTCAACACAATCTACAACAAAGAAAATACCGCCATGTCAACACAATCTAAACAACCAAGAAAATACCGCCACGTCAACACAATCTAAACAACCAAGAAAATACCGCCACGTCAACACAATCTATGAAACTAGCACATTACGTGAACCAAACAAAATATCAAAACGGATCCCCTTGAAATAAAAAAAAATCAGTGTGATTTGTCAGTCGGCATTAGTTTTAAATATGAAGATTGTTGGTAAACGTTTCCTAATATTATTGATACCATTCTAGATTCTCAGCCTCTCGCACAGAACATTAGAAAGTTTTACGATTACAGATCGAAGAATTTTGATACACTCGTTATCACAATTACATTATCTCAGAAATACTGGTTACTGGTTACCATTGTAGGGTAAATGGCTGGCCAACGTAACAGAAATTTGGCTTGTTTAAAACAGCAGAAAATATTGCCTTGTTAAAACAGGCATACAAGGCGATAGGACATACTTTAACTGTGAATTCTACTGACAAAGGGTAGAAACATAGAACGGTAAGCCTTTTATTAGCTTGTCTTATAACATTAATCAGTAGTAGTAGAGACCAGGTCTGACAGGACGACCACGCATTTAATCACCTGTAACGTGCAAGTCCTGTTAAACATGATCATAGACCATATTCTCTTTTATTTGTTACGTTTGTAGGTGGTGTCATTCACGCACCTCTTTTCCAGCCAGTGTATTATGAGTGGTGGTGACACGCTGTACAGAGACTGATAACATCCTATACATTCTCTAACTCCGTTAATATTAGTGTGTTAAATGTACTTATATCAAGACCCATGTGTGACTTCAACTTTTAATTTTCTGCTTGGTTGGCCATCTGTAATGTTCGATACCATTACGACGTAAACCAGGAATCTAGGACCTGAGAATGAGCTTAGTTAGAAGTACATTTTACCTAAGTTATCATAAAGAAAAAGGTTCCTTTATGTGGTCTGCAGTGTAAATCCTGTCACTTGTATTTCAATTGTCATTTTTTTTTAGATAATTTGTTAACGATTCGTCATGTCAGTAGTAATATATTCTAAATTATTACGTTTTATTTTCATTGTGCAAATAGACATTTCATTATACTGATCATCCTGCCTTATACTCGAAATAGACAACATTTTCACGGAATTCGATAATGATACAGATACAGCGTGGTTTGAAAATACATATATCTCGATAGTATCTGGTTTGCAATATGAAGACAAAGTTGACTTACTTGAAATGAAGTGTTTTCTTGATTCCATTCTTGCCGATGAAGGGGACGACATAGGTAACTACCCAATCATCCACTCGTCCGTCACATTTAAAAGTAGGACGTGTCCAGTACCCGTCTTGTACACTAGGGGCAAAATAACCCATAGGGTAGTGTTCATGTTTAATGGTGCTGGTACCGTTAATGTCAGACCGGACAAGACTCTTCATCCGGTACTTCAGTACCCCTTTGGTGTTGGTTTGCCAACGTTCTTTGATGACACGGTACCAATCAGCATCAGTATAACGCTCCTTCAGTCCAGCGGTATCAATGGCGTAATAATTCCCGTCAGCCTTATACGCTAGAGGACCGAAGAACTCTCTCGGTGTACCATCCATATCCTCGAAGACGTACGGTTCGTAGAATATACCACTGGAAGCTATTTTGAAGTCGGACATGACATTGGAGATGACTTCCCCGAACAAATGATCATAGTGAAGTCTACCGCCTCCTTTCATGTATCCGAAATTTTCGTCTGGTGCGGTGTTTTGCATGAAATTGCTGAGAAAGTGGGATATTCGCAAAGCCATTCTGGCCTGATTTTCAAACTGAGAGTCGGCACCGTATGCAACAGCTCCAGGTAACACTAATGCAGATGGAGACATTGTGTGGCAGTTGGCTTTTGTCACTGCTGCTTTCTTCTTAAAAATCTTCATCATTTTGTCAATAGCAACTTCATCAAAGTTAGTAGAGCGTTTCCTTCGTTTTTTTTTCTTCTGTTCGTTTGGTTCTTCTCGACGCTCTCTTACCTTTTCAATGAAATCTCGGCCGTCAACAACAGATTTTAGAGCTCTCCGTTGTATACTCTCTGTCTGGAAATTTCCAGAGCTTCCACCCTCGAACGAAACTGGGTCAGTATTCTCTACCACGGGAGGAACTCTCAGAACTGCAACCAAAGATGGTATTATGCTCTTTAAGCATCAGCTGAATCCCTCCTATTACCCGACTATAATGAGGCACATATGCACGCTGGAGGTTTGATTGCTTTATGAAAAATATCAGTTTGTAGGCGCAATGGTCGCAGAGAAAATAAATATTTCAAATCAATATCACATTATCTAGCTTTGGAAAAATTGACGGTGACATTTATGTGTGTTGTTTCCATTCATCTTAAAGTTTACCCAGGTGTTAACTAATATAATAATTTTACTGTCCAGTATACTTACAGTCGGTACGGATACATTCGTAGCTGTGAATAAATTCTTCCTCTGTAGCTTTCTCCAGGTCTGTACCTAGATATGGACCCTTGACATCCCAAGGGTAGTGATGACCTGACTTACACTGACAGATGTACCCTCCACGTCTAAAACCACGACCCATTTTGTGTTTGCACTGAAATAAAATGAAATATGTCTTCAGGTTTATCATGGCTATATCACTTCATCAATTCTTTGTAGTAAAAGTGTTATCACATAAATATTTATCGATATAAGACCCGAGAGGGCTTCCGTGTGATACACGACACACAGTTGATCAACATTTTTGTTAATCCAAGAGTATATGTGTAGTCCTAATCATTTTATTATGAATGTCATTTCGTGAAGTAAAATATTTTCGAATTGAACTGCTTTTCAAAACAATATGTATATGACAGCAAAAAGACTGTATTTGGGTAACAGACACTCTACAGATCACTACTTCATCAAGAAGAATCATCTTAAATCGGAACATTTTCCTTTAGTTCTTCTATATTGCACATTAGCTGGTGTGTATTCTCAGAAGAGATATCTGGTGTGTATTCTCAGAAGTGTTATCTGCTGTGTATTCTGAGAAAAGATATCTGGTGTGTATTCTCAGAAGAGTCATCTGTTGTGTATTCTCAGTCTCAGAAGAGATATTTTGTGTGTATTCTCAGAAGAGTTATCTGGTGTGTATTCTCAGAAGAGATATCTGGTGTGTATTCTCAGAAGAGATATCTGCTGTGTATTCTCAGAAGAGATATCTGCTGTGTATTCTCAGAAGAGATATCTGCTGTGTATTCTCAGAAGAGTTATCTGGTGTGTGTTCTCAGAAGAGATATCTGGTATCTGGTATGTGTTCTCAAAAAAGATATCTGGTGTGTGTTCTCAGAAGTGTTATCTGGTGTGTGTTCTCAGAAAAGATATCTGGTGTGTATTCTCAGTCTCAGAAGAGATATTTTGTGTGTATTCTCAGAAGAGATATCTGCTGTGTATTCTCAGAAGAGTTATCTGGTGTGTGTTCTCAGAAAAGATATCTGGTGTGTATTCTCAGAAGAGTCATCTGGTGTGTATTCTCAGTCTCAGAAGAGATATTTTGTGTGTATTCTCAGAAGAGATATCTGGTGTGTGTTCTCAGAAGTGTTATCTGGTGTGTGTTCTCAGAAAAGATATCTGGTGTGTATTCTCAGTCTCAGAAGAGATATTTTGTGTGTATTCTCAGAAGAGATATCTGGTGTGTATTCTCAGAAGAGTCATCTGGTGTGTATTCTCAGTCTCAGAAGAGATATTTTGTGTGTATTCTCAGAAGAGTTATCTGGTGTGTATTCTCAGAAGAGATATCTGGTGTGTATTCTCAGAAGAGATATCTGCTGTGTATTCTCAGAAGAGATATCTGCTGTGTATTCTCAGAAGAGTTATCTGGTGTGTGTTCTCAGAAGAGATATCTGGTATGTATTCTCAGAAGAGATATCTGGTGTGTGTTCTCAAAAAAGATATCTGGTGTGTGTTCTCAGAAGTGTTATCTGGTGTGTGTTCTCAGAAAAGATATCTGGTGTGTATTCTCAGTCTCAGAAGAGATATTTTGTGTGTATTCTCAGAAGAGATATCTGCTGTGTATTCTCAGAAGAGATATCTGCTGTGTATTCTCAGAAGAGTTATCTGGTGTGTGTTCTCAGAAGAGATATCTGGTGTGTGTTCTCAGAAGAGATATCTGGTGTGTGTTCTCAAAAGATAAAGATATCTGGTGTGTATTCTCTGGTGTGTCAGAAGAGATATTTTGTGTGTATTCTCAGAAGAGATATCTGCTGTGTATTCTCAGAAGAGTTATCTGGTGTGTGTTCTCAGAAGAGATATCTGGTATGTATTCTCAGAAGAGATATCTGGTGTGTGTTCTCAAAAAAGATATCTGGTGTGTGTTCTCAGAAGTGTTATCTGGTGTGTGTTCTCAGAAAAGATATCTGGTGTGTATTCTCAGAAGAGTCATCTGGTGTGTATTCTCAGTCTCAGAAGAGATATTTTGTGTGTATTCTCAGAAGAGATATCTGCTGTGTATTCTCAGAAGAGATATCTGGTATGTATTCTCAGAAGAGATATCTGGTGTGTGTTCTCAGAAGTGTTATCTGGTGTGTGTTCTCAGAAAAGATATCTGGTGTGTATTCTCAGAAGAGTCATCTGGTGTGTATTCTCAGTCTCAGAAGAGATATTTTGTGTGTATTCTCAGAAGAGATATCTGGTTTGTATTCTCAGAAGATATATCTGGTGTGTATTCTCAGAAGATATATCTGGTGTGTATTCTCAGAAGATATATCTGGTGTGTATTCTCAGAAGAGATATCTGGTATGTGTTCTCAGAAAAGATATTTGGTGTGTATTCTCATAAGTGTTATTTGCTGTGTATTCTCAGTCTCAGAAGAGATATTTTGTGTGTATTCTCAGAAGAGATATCTGGTGTGTATTCTCAAAAGTTATCTGGTGTGTATTCTCAGAAGAGATATTTGGTGTTTATTCTAAGAAGAGATATCTGGTGTGTATTCTCAGAAGAGATATCTGGTGTGTATTCTCAGAAGAGATATCTGGTGTGTATTCTCAGAAGAGATATCTGGTGTGTATTCTCAGAAGAGTTATCTGGTGTGTATTCTCAGTCTCAGAACATATATCTGGTGTGTATTCTCAGAAGAGATATCTGGTGTGTGTCACAAATCTGATTAGCTGTACTGAGGTATTAAATGGCCAATGGCGGTACGATCACTTCGTGTTTATTGGTATACAGTCTGTGCTATCAATTCGACAGCTGTTGTCAGAGACAGACAGAAGGGAATTATGTATGAGTGTTCATATTTGTCACGCTATTTAAACCATTTTTCTAGTCCTTTATGTCATTTTGGTAGCAATGCACTTACGCATTTAGTCTTCTCTTTTTATATATTTTCTTAGACCGTCGAGGATATTTTGATTAAAAACATCCATCTACACTCTTAATATTAGTATAATCCCGCTACACTTCAGATTGTTTTCAAATCACGATTGTCAGGTATTTTTTTGTAGATTAGCTTGATGTCACGTGTTATTTGTAAACCAATCAGAATGAATCACTTTGAACACCGTGGTACATTTGTTATGTATGAACCTACATGATGAGTTTTTATCAAGCTTAGCGTCGTTGATATATATTAAGATACAGTAGAAATGACAGTCACGGTACACTAACATTAATTACCTTTTCTGGATACTTTTCAGCTCCAAAACATCAAAATATCTCTTAACTATATCAGCATACTATTATGTTAATATTTTGTACCCTGTATTCATACACCGACTAAGTATAATTCTCCTCAACTGTACTCGCTCACTCACGAGCCGTAAATATCCTTTTAAGTGAAATGTCTTACCCCAGTAGTAACGGTTTTACATCTTGAAACTCCACAAAGGTAGCATGGTTCAGGGTTTCCAATGGATGCCGGACATGGGTTATAATCAATTTCCTGGAAATGCATATCCATGGTTACCACGCCAACGAACCTGAAAGGAAAAGAGCATTACATCAAAACAACTCACTTTTATTTTCGTTCTGTTGTTTCTTTAACACGCCAAAAGATCGTTCATCACATCTCATTCTTCTGTCAATTATTGTACCACGAAAATTTACAGAAACTCTCCAAACAGGTAAACATAAAAATAACTATCTCTAACTCTTAAAGGTGACTATACCACAACTTCGACATCTATCACAAAAATACAGTAAGGATATGGCATTAGCTCACCTGGTCCAAAGGACCTATGACCTTATGCGCGATATCCTTCATCCGACGTCCTTCACTTTTTCATTTTTCTTCAAATCGCTACTAGTCAACTGAAGGGATTTTGACTAAATTTGGTCCAAAGCAAGGGAGGGGCTAGTTTTGTGAAATGGAAGGTCTTGATCCGTGGGGCCAGAGGGATGGAGATAAGTTAATGTAGGAAGACAGTACGTTGTATGTATTAATGATCAGTCTGACCTTCATTTTATTCAGATCTGATTATGACATTAAGAGTTACAACACTGCCATGGCTCATATAACATTTGTATATCAGTTTCATTTTTCCTCATACTCAGACGAAAGCTGAGATAAAATAATAATTTGTAATCTTAAAGATATTGGAATAAATTCCAAGTTGAAGTGTCATACCGCTATATAATATGTTTTGGCTATAGTTTGGTCAATGTTTTTTTTCCAATGCATCAATACAATTTCTATTTACAAGCACATGCATATCTGATAACCAAAACGTATGTGTTGACTGTCCAGGTTCCAGGTGTATTCAGCCTTCAATTATTTAAATAATTATTTACAATAGGCTTTGGTAATGTGTTTATCATTATAATAGACTTCTAGACGTGTACATTAATAGTAATTCTTTCTACAGCTGCCCTGCTTGCCATGCTGTCGATAGGCCTACTGGTGGCTAGACATATCACTCCAACTAATAATCTCTGGTAACATGACCAGATCATGACACTCCCTGGAACCAAGGTAACAGCGACGGCGGGACACATACATGGTGGTTAATGGTATGAACAGATGACAATGATATCATTGAACGGGATACAAACATTTTTTTTATGCAGGACCATGCCATAATTTACAATTCAGGTTTTATAAACGAGGCAGCATTGTCAGCCGATAGAGGGTGTAACGTTGATCTGGATTGCCCATGATGGATATTTTATACCTTCCCTAAAGTAAAATGTTCTACATGGACAAGGTAATATGACACGTCACCCAGGCGTATTATACTGATAACGCTCTGTGCATCCTGTTCAATATTGAATAACAGGAAGGAATCGTATTTATGCAATGACTTTGCTTTGTTACAGGTAATCCCCCGTGCTGTGTTAGAAATAATATACATCACTATTCGGTATTTTCAGCATTAGTTTTAATAGGTAAAAGGAAGGATTTTCAACTGCATTTAAGTTTTTTAATTCCTTTATTATCTTTATTATAAATTCAGAGAGCACATTAGGATACAATGTAAGAACTGATATGGTCTGTGAAAGATTATTATTACGTCATTGTACAGAAATATCCATACTTCTGGCAAGACAACCTGCACGCACAGGAAGTGACATTTCGGGTTCATGTAATTGTTAATGACGTCATTTTTATGACTTGACGGGATTAGTTGGGATCAATGACGTCATTTACAATTGTCATCCGGGCCTCAAATGCAAATGTCTGTACCGATGGTTATAACGCCACAAGTATGTTTATTTGGTTATTTAGTTCTAAGGTAAAAAGGGATAGTAAAAAATCAATCCCTACCTTGAGTGTAGGAAAGAGACATCTCTTCAGTGGAGATTCCTGACAGTCCTGACAATCAAGAATCTCCTCCTCGGGTAGAGATTTCTTTGCCTTACATTCCAGCTAGGGAAGGATCTTATTAATCTTTTATTACTGAAATTAATTGTGACTTATTACTGATGACCAGTGTAAGAATATTATATCAGTTATTACTGAAATTAATTGTGACTTATTACTGATGACCAGTGTAAGAATATTATATCAGTTATTACTGAAATTAATTGTGACTTATTACTGATGACCAGTGTAAGAATATTATATCAGTTATTACTGAAATTAATTGTGACTTATTACTGATGACCAGTGTAAGAATATCATATCAGTTATTACTGAAATTAATTGTGACTTATTACTGATGACCAGTGTAAGAATATTATATCAGTTATTACTGAAATTAATTGTGACTTATTACTGATGACCAGTGTAAGAATATTATATCAGTTATTACTGAAATTAATTGTGACTTATTACTGATGACCAGTGTAAGAATATTATATCAGTTATTACTGAAATTAATTGTGACTTATTACTGATGACCAGTGTAAGAATATTATATCAGTTATTACTGAAATTAATTGTGACTCATTACTGATGACCAGTGTAAGAATATTATATCAGTTATTACTGAAATTAATTGTGACTTATTACTGATGACCAGTGTAAGAATATTATATCAGTTATTACTGAAATTAATTGTGACTTATTACTGATGACCAGTGTAAGAATATTATATCAGTTATTACTGAAATTAATTGTGACTTACTACTGATGACCAGTGTAAGAGTGTGTTATCAGTTATTACTGAAATTAATTGTGACTTATTACTGATGACCAGTGTAAGAATATTATATCAGTTATTACTGAAATTAATTGTGACTTATTACTGATGACCAGTGTAAGAGTGTGTTATCAGCTATTACTGAAATTAATTGTGACTTATTACTGATGACCAGTGTATAAATTTTAGTCTTTTATTACTGAAATTAATTGTGATGTATAACTGATGGTCAGTGTAATAATTGTCAGTGTTTTATCACGGTGCTAGTTTGGGAAGTGGTATCAATACACCACTGAACTAAAATAGTTATTAACATATTAAAGAAATTTCATTAGTTTGAGAGATGTTTAAACCTTTATTGAAATAATTTTAGCTTTCAGTATGAATCACACCGTATAATAATTATTATTCTCTTTATGTCCTCCTTTACAGCTGAAATGTCTGTGTTTAGGTTTTGCGACAAATTCAGGTTTTGGACAAAAATACATGATTCGTGTAACCTACTTTAACTGATTGAAAACAACATTTCAACTGAGCTTTTCATGTGCCATTTTATACTGATTTATTACACCACGATGATCTTATCGTTTACTTTATGAATACCAGGTTTTAAGTCTTGTTTTATATCAACAAATATATGCGGGAATGTTATGGTCGAATGGCATTAGTATAAAGTTTGTTTAAACCAAAAATAAAACACGTGATCTAACACCTTTTGGAGGTAAAGTTCTGATACGAGGCTAAGTACCCGGATCGAGAGGGAACGAAGGAGGCATTACACAGGGACACACGAGTAGTTATTGCATAGTATGTTCAATGTACAAACGAGAAAAGTCAAATATTTTATTTTGTTTCTTCAAAACGAAACAATTACTTTTATACTAAAAGTTTAATAAAGAGTTATGTCCCCTTGATATGACAAAACGTCGTTTTAGTAAGGAAAACGATGAAGAAAAAGTGTCTCCGATGTGTGAATTAAACATTTCCGTTGCTTTAATATGTTGCTCTTTGTACACGTAATCACTAAACCAATGGATAAGCATTTCCTGTGACGTCAGCAGAGCCAAGTTTCTGGTGAGATGTGGTTTATTATCACATTTCCCTCATGGTTGTCTATACATATTTATAATATATATTATCATATTATATTATAATAATATTATATATTATTAGAATATAATGACATAGTTATGTTAGGTGGGTTCGGCTGTCGTTTTAATGACATGACTAAGAAGGTTTCTCAACAGGTTTACGGAATTCACCATCTTCAGCAATACATTAAAATTTCTTGAAATACTTTCAGGAATTACGAGTATGTCAAAATGAAACGTAAAGAACTCTAAAATTTGGACTTTTTGGTTCGTGATGAGAACGGATGTCTACGATTGTGATATAATAGCTATGTACAGACAATAGAAATGACACAGACAACTTGTCGGGGTGTAAAGTATTACTTGTGAAATCGCACGCATTCTGCTTCATGACAAATGACACCTTCTTTTTAAAAGTTTTATTTTTGGGCAACAAGATATAATATTGTACAAACAATGTATCCCCGAAAAAAACAAAACCCTAAAGTAAATTCCTTTATTATTATCGATATTGAATAATTTCAAATGAACATAAAGTGTATTTGTACGTTTTTATATCATGCCACTAGAGTAATCCCCCTGTAAACATTTGTTATATATTGACGATGAACAAACATACAATGTTGTATGACTATTAAAGTCAATCAGTACCTAGTGACATCGTGTAACGGTTGTAAAGTTCATGGTTATATGAACCCAAAATTGTTCACCGTAGACGTGTGTACCTAACTAAGACTGTCAGAGTACGGATACTTTGCGTGACTTCAAAGGCTTCAGGCTAAGCCATGACCTATTATTATTGTCGTTAACAGACCGTGTAAACACTGAATAGGTCAATAATACAATCCATTGCACGAGTTATAGTGAAATCGATGTATTATATCATTCTATGGTGTCCTAATACACAAACAGGTCAAGGCCTTTACCACGTGGTGTCAATATCTACCCGGATGAATAAAGAACTAAATCCCCGTGACCCTTCTATCAGATGTAAGTCTTTTTGAATGAAGTCAAAATAGCACTGATATTGAAGAATAAGTCATTTAATTGATACACCATTGCGCTGATCAAGTAACGCTTTCAACATAGGGATCCGGTTAACTTTACAGAAACACTAAATTTATAGCATTTGCTTATCATGAACTAATTTTTCCAACATATCATAGTGCTGACTTCTGATATTCATTAAAATTTTAACTATAAAAGCTATTTACATCTTAATTAGCTGTGTGTTTTCAGTGAGAAGATAATTTACGGTGATGATGGAGTTATTATAAAACACACCATCAAAAGTACATCTCAGATGTT